TCCTCATTTAAAAAGCAGTGAATATTAAGAGGAAGTAAGAAGACAGCCCATAATTTTACCTACCAGAAAAAAACCTAATTTTTTAAATGAGATATAATTGACATAAAACATTATATTAGTTTCAGGTGTACAACATTATGATTTGATATTTGTATATATTGCAAAATGACCACAATAAATCTAGTGAACATCCATCATCATACAGTTACACAACTTTTTAAATATTACTTATATTTACATATTTTAATATTTTTCTTTAAGACACTGTCCACACCTAAGCGGCCTGCCCGTCCAGCCACATGTTGTGAGACCTCAGGAATAGGGTCTGTACTCCTTTCTGGCACCTGGGCAGCGCTGAAGACTTGGAGCCTCGAAGGCTGGGCTAACCAAGTACAGTGAGTCGAAGGCTCCGAGGAAGGAGCTGTACAACTCCTGGTAGCAGCGACTGGTAAAGCAAAAAGCATCAACTTAAGCTCAGGTGACCTCTGGCGGTGCACAGTTTGGAGCATTTCATCCTCCAGCTAAACCCCTGCTCACTGGGAGAACACGGCAGCTCATATTTCAGCAAAAAATAAATTTAACAACTTTAAGAGTGAATGTGGCAGCAGATGGGGGTGGGGAAAACATCGACTGCATTTTCTGCTGAAAATCCAGTTGGGAATTTGTGCTGTGACCTACATTACTCTAGTTTCCACCCCCGTAACTTTCTCTCCCCTCAAGGAACAGCAGAATATGATACATTTCCCAAGGACAAATTACTCTGCAAAAAAAAAAAAAAAAAAAAAAGCCCCATTTTAATAGCATGCTAAATGACAGCACAGCAAACCATTTAAGCCTTCACTGATTTGCAGTCCAGTTCCACAGGATGAATTCTTGGAATTCAAGCCTCCCCTCATTAATGTGCTTTCAAAAGCACACCTGATATTTCCCTCCGTATCTGCTAACATCTGCCATGTGTCACGGCTCAGAGCACACCTTTCTCTGAAATGCCCAGGCAACACAAGGAATATGGGGATCCCAGAAGAAGAGGGTTTTGGGGGACTGCCATTCATCTACTTGCCAGTTTGGTGGGCAGACTCTGGTCCCCACCTGGGCCAGGCTGACACACAGAGTTCAAAATGGAAAAGAAGGGGCTCACTTCCTACTGCCCTACTTTCTAGTGCAGAGACGGCTGCTGGCATTAGCACGGAAGGCAGCGGGAGGCGGAGAGATTTGGAGAAAAAACTGAACCTGCTGATTCTTCGACTCGCAGGTTTGTACAGATGGTAGAATACTTGGAAGTCAGGGGGCCCCTTGCAGAACACAGTGAAATACTGACACAGTAAACAGAAAAAAATAAACTAGAAAAGTGTATGCAGAAGCAGGTCCCATGTAATACTGGACTCCAGGCTGCACAAGCCTGAGAGTTTTAAGGAATATTTATTTTAAAAAAACACACAAAACACCAGAAAAAACCACAAGCAAATTCTACCCACAGGCTTTTATTTTCTTGCCCATCTTCCCTCTCCTGCTCCAAACTGAAGTGGGACCACTTTTTCTGAAGTTTAGCAGTGGACTAGCTCATAGAACATACCTGGGAGCACAAGGGCGAGCCACATGCATCATGGGTAACATGCAATGTCTGGTCCTCTCATCCAAACCCTGTATGGAGAGGCCGTCTGAGCAGTGGGTAAGAGGCAGGACTGCAAACTCAGGTGTCTACAGAGGCCAGGCAGGTAATGTGAGAGAGTGATGCTACACGAATATATGAGAAAAACAGCTAAATGCCAGCAAAAGAGACCAAGGAAGACTCAGCTCGGTGTCCAAGAGACAATGGTGGGGGCGGAGCTCCACAGGGACAAGGCAGCAGGCCAGGCAAAGCTGTAGCCACACGTGGTTGAGTGAAAGTGGAAGTAGGCATCTGTCTGTCCCGCCACCATAACAAAATGCCCCACAGTATTTGTGCCTTAAGCAACAGATCTATTTCTCACAGTTCTGGAGGCTGAAAGTCCGAGATCAAAGAGCCAGCAGATTTGGTTCCAGGTGAAGGAAGGCAGCCTTCCTGGCTTCCAGACAGGTGCCTTCTCATTGTGGCCTCACATGGCAGAGAGGGGACCCTCAGGTCTCTCTTCCGCTTCTGATAGGGGCAGTGGTGTCACATGGGGCCCACCCTTACAACTTCATCTAAACCTAACTTCTAAAAGACCCCAAATGTCATCACATTGGAGAGCAGCACTTCAACATATGGATTTGGAGTGGGAGGAACAAACATTCACTTCAGAACAAAGTGTGAGCAACTCTCGTTTTCAGAAGAAGCCTGCTGTCTGAGTTTTTAAAAATCTGACACCTAATTTTTTGATGGTAAGACTTCAATTATGAAAAACAAATAGCCAAATCCCACTGGACTGGTCAAAGGGTCAGGCTGCCCCCTCAGGTCGTGGGTTCATCATCCACGCCCCGAAATGGGCTATGGGACCAAAGAGCCCGGGTTCCCCATGTGCTGGTGGGTAAGCCAGGGGTTACCAGGTAACTAACTTCTCAGAGCCTCACTTTCCTCAGAGTATGAGCTGGAACCTAAGGACATCGCCCTTTTATTGACAACTTTGTAAGGTTCCAGCTAATAAAATGGAGGTATGGTGCCCACCCAGTGGGCTCTCAGGCAGACAAAGCAGGTCAGCTGTTGGGCCAGTGCCTGTAGTAACTGCTCACCAACGGGAGGAGCGGGAGGGGCCGCACCAGCTTAGTCCACCAGGCCATTCGTGTTCAGTAGCTAAAGCTGACCTTAGGGTGCTGAATCACCATTTGAAAGAGCCAAGGAAATTGTCAAGATCTATTTTAAAAAAAAGCTTTTCAGGGTTTATTTCTTTAACCAAGAGAGGTCTTTAAAAAAACAAAAATCTAGGAATCTCTTACTTAGGGAGAGCTCGTGAGCTGAAACACCAGTCTCACTGTTTTCCGTGGGAGCACCCAGACCGCGAGTGAGCACGTGGGTTCACCAGCCCATCTTCCACTTCCCCCAAATGAAACAGCCTACAGATTCCGACCTGTAACCCCATCTCACTCAAAAAGACAAAGGTGGAGAGAGAAGCTTAATTTAGAACTTCAAGGAAAAGCAACAGAGCAAAGCTGTTTAATTCATCTGGGGTCCAGACCAACGTTCAGTCAGAAATTTGATGTCAATATTGTGTCATTTGCCACAATCTCCTACTGAAATTCTTTGTGTTTTTTAAAGCCCATGAAATTGAACCTTATGTTCTCTGTGCTAATCAGGCACAAAAGGTTTCTCTCCCAGCTCTGATTAATGGCAACCAGTGCAGCTGGGATAGCACAACACACTGAGACGCTCTCATTAACACACAATTTTCACAGTTCCCCAGGCTAATGTTTGCTAAGCGCTGGACCAGAGATGCCGGGATGTGCCAGGCAGGAAGGCCACCAGCTTGCCTGCGTCGGGCAGGGTTCCTCCCGCTCAGATGAGCTCGAGCTCGCAGCCTTTCCGAGCGTCTGAGCCTTAGGGCCTACTCTCTCTAACTCAGTTCCTCAGGGAACCGAGCAAAAATGCACAGGACTTGGTGAGGGGTTAATCTCCAATACACACCCTGGGCTGGGGGCTGCCATTAAAAGAAGACGAACTCCTCTCATGAACCACTGTGGCACTGTCAAAACGGCGAGATCAAGGCCCTGGCATCACAAATAACCAAATAAAAGAAAAACAGTTTTCTGCACGGTGGGCATCTTTTATCACAGGCAGCACGATAAAATTGTATCTTCTCGTAAAAGCCTTAAAACAATTAGAAAAGCATAAGCAGCCAGCTTGGCTACCATTTCAAAAGCCCCGCGCAGGTGAGAGCAGCAGTGCTGCCCCGTCTGTCTGGTTGGAGGTTCAACTCGGAAACTGCGCAAGTGTGACGCCGAAGGGGAGCCCCACATTCAGACGCAGAAATAAGCCCCTTGTTTTACGTTACAGCATCACTGTTCACACAAATCAGACCCTCCAACCCCAAGCACAGCATTTTAAAGAACTTCAGTGAAAGGAAACTCTTATTTTATCTCAGTAAATCAATCACACAGGCTCAGACCAGCGTTTCTCAAATGATGAGTCCCAATCCCATTTTGGGAAAGCCACAGGGCTGCTATGTGTTTCTGTGCCGTGTTTCCATTATGATGATAATATTTTAGAAATAGTGGAATTATATTCTATTCGAAAGGCCCTTTAAACACTAAGTACTGTTTCATCATTCCAGGTCTCAATATTCTAAGGATGTAAATGTCTCAGGCTGGTAAGAGACCAAATAGGACAAAGTGGACTTATCGGTGATAAGGCAGTGACACCAAGTGATGGCCACCTGCTTGAAAGCGCTGCACGGATGTTTCCAGGCAATGCGACCCAAAGAAGGCAGGGAGGAATGGAGTCAGTAGGCATGGCACATGGCACACCGGAAAGACCTGCCGCACGCCGCTGCCAGCCAAGATTTGGTTTCAGAAAAATGACCGTGGCATTGCAATGACAACTTTGAATTGTAATGATGTTGTAAGTGCTTAACGTGTAAAGTTCTTTTTTTTTTTTACTTTTATAAGGACATATAAAAACAAGGAATTTATACCGAGTTCAAGTTATGTTTATACCTAGTTTTAAGTAAGTGATATTAATACGAAAATCATTTAAGGAGGTACCAGTGGGAGTCTGAGAATTTTTCTTTGGGTTCACTACCCAGGCAGAAGACACCGAGAGAGCATCTCGGCTCTGGAACATCTGTGAGTGGCACAGAAAATGAATCTTTCCTGTGATCACAATGCATGAAAGTATAAACCACGCAGCACTGAATTTACTTCCAAACCTCAAATCAGCAACGCTCATTTGCAAACTCCCTTTCATGAGCCCTTTAGCAACTCCAAAGCACTGTGGCATGAGTCTCCCACGGCCCCCGGGGCACACTGGGTCCCGGGGTATCTAGGACACAGACACGCTTCACTGCCCATCCATGGAAGAGAGAAAGCACATCCCTGTGAATGGTACTTACACAAAGAAGGGCATCAGCTGAACAAGGGTCTCTTTCTTGGGATTGGTGGCAAACTCGGGAACCATCTGGATGACTTTGTTCATGACATTGCGCAGGTAATTTTGGAGATGCTTCCTTCGTTCCTCCACAAACTTGGCATCCTGAGAAAACAGAGAGACAGGCGTGCTCAAGTGTGCTTTCCTAGCCTATCCATAAGCTTCCCCCCAGGACATACAACGATCAATCGTTACGGCCCAGGCAGCTGACATTTATGGGGTGACTGCCACATGTAAAGGGTGTCTAAGGCTTTACATGTGTAATCACATTTAACAACAGAGAAGATGCTCATGCTATTAAGTGGGAGAAAGCAGGTCTATCAAACTCCTTACAGTGTCTTCCTATAAGTGAATGAGGTCTTAGCAACTGTGGCCTTTATTGAGTACCTACCATGTGATGAATACAGTGGTGGGGACTGAGGGTAAAACAATAACACACAGTCACTGCTGTGGTCCTGGGGGAGGTGACTGTGGGGGAGACACAGATAAATCTAGTGACCATACTGGTGAGTGTATAGTTATTCATCACACTAAATGCCACCCTGGAAAGAGAGTGCTTGATTTTGCCTTCATAGGAATTTTCTGAAATATAAATAAAGATCATATTAATAAACAGATTCTAGCTTGTCTTGAAAAACTAGGAGACGCGGCAGCACTGTCCTTCCCACAGGGTCACACCAGGCTGTGCGGTGCGGTGCCGCTCCCGAGGCAGTGCAGGTCTGGCGCAGTCTCCACCCGGCCCCACTCCAGACCCTCCTGCCACCCCCACCCACCCTGGACCTCCTCGGCCCTCTCAAGCAGAGCCAGCTTCCCAGACGTGTGCCCTGTGCAGTCACACAGTGTGGAACTTGGACTTGTCTAGAAATTCTGAATAATTTTGGAACAAGGGGACCCACATTTCCATGTGGCCTGGGGCCCCGCAGATTCTGTAGCCCATCCTGTTCATTCTGATCTGCACTGGTGGCCCTGGTTTATAACTAGAAACCCTGGCCTGGGAGAGGGCAGGAAAGGCTTTCTCTGAGCCTGTGATGCTCCTTCTGGACTAAGGCCCAAGAACAGTGAGTAAAGGAACAGCAGAGCAGGCGGTAGGAGGGACAAGGTTCTTCATCCTCACGAAACAGAAGAAGCTTTGGTTAATCTCGCGTGAGGGAACTGCAGCCTGGAGAGGGGCTGGGTTGCCCATCCACGAGGTCCCGCAGATGGAGAGGTGATACAGGGTGCAGCCAGGGGGCCCCCCAAAAAGGATTTGGAATGGTGTCCAGAATTCAAAGTGTATAGGAATATTGGAGAGACATATAAGATGTCCTCACACCTCCCCCCAGGGGGAAGGGATGAATGGAGAGGGCCATTGAGAGCTGTTTTGCATAGCAACAGTTTTGCAGCTAACCTCTGGAATGGTTATTTAGCATATGTATAACCTTTAACTGGTTTCATAGATATGTTAAATAGCAGTGGCCAAGTTTGGAGCCAGGGAGAAGGGAGTAGCGGGGACTCAGGAGGATGTAACTAGGGGCTACTCTCCTGAGTGAGAAGGGTTTGGACTCAGAAGGTAACGAGAGGCTGTACTCCTGAGTGAGAGTGCCTGTGTGGGAGCTCGGAAAAGATGGGCTCCAGGACATGAGGTGATAACTGCCCAGGTGAAAGGGAAAACCACGCAGCTTTGCCAGAATAGAGATCCCTGCAGCCAGGCGAAGAAGAAAGCCACATGCTTTTGGTGGAGTGCGGACTCCTGCAGCTTTGGTAGAAGAGGCCCATGCGGCTTTGGGATGCCCCCTTTGGCCACATGGCCTGGAAAGCAGGAGAGACTTTGACTGGAACTGGGTACAAAGGACTCTTGCCAGTGGACCATGAAAGGGTACCACAGTACTTTGGATTAACTCGAGATCCTGCACAGTGACACAGCTGACGGTGCCAGCGGCCCGCAACACAGACGTGTGCTCTTTTCCTGATTTACGGTACCCGGAGTTGGGACAGTGGGAGAAGGGGAGCGCTGTGTGGGTGTAGGTGTACAACCTAAAGGACTTTGATATTTTAGTGGAGGCATTAGGCCTGAATAGCATTAAATAAACACTTTGTTTCCTTTTCACAAATCTCTGGCATTGATAGATGTCTTTCCAATTGGCGGCGGACAGAAGAGCCCAGTAGATTTTAGTATTTTGTTTTTGGGAGGGGCCCCTGTTGTATAGCAGTTTTGGGCATCCCTAGGTGGGCCAAATATTGTATTGCCCCTCCCTCGGACCTCTTGTTCGGTAACAGAGGGGCACTCACCTCTGCCCCAACACCCCAAGTGTTGGCCAGCCCAGGCAGGACTCCACAACAGTCTGCTGAATGAGGCCGCACATGCCGAGCCACCCGAGTTGAGCACTGCCCAGTATGCAGCCTGGTCTCTGGCAGAGTCCCCACAAGGCCCTACCTAAGGACTCGAGCATGGCAGGGAGAAACTTTAAGTGTCAGATTTAGCAAATAAAAATACAGGACACAGAGTGAAATTTGAATTTCAATAAGCAGTGAGTAATTTTTTAGTTTTTATAACTCAATATTCAATAATTCATAATACAATAATTTTTCTGTGTTCAAATGTACACCACACAATAAAACCTTTCCAGGCAATATTTGGGACACACTGAAACTAAGAAATTATTCATTGTTTATCTGAAATTAAAATTTCACTGGGTGTCCTGCATTTCATCTGGCAACCCTTCTCTGAGCACCAGGTGGGAGGAAGAAATACTGAGCAGGGGCCTGGGGCCCCTTCCAGGTCTCAGCAGGCCCTCTAGCCCAAAGCTACTCCCTGATAACCGCCTCAGCGGGGACCTTCCACCAGAGGGGTGGCACTAAGGGAACACTGCCGAGGGCCACTCATCCTCACCACCAGCACAGTCCAGGCAGGGGGCAGAGCTGTGCCCTGAAATCACCTGCAGCCTGGCGGGAGGTGCAGGGGCGCTGAGTGGGCAGAGCTTCGGCACCAGCCAGGACAGCTGCAGGTCCCAGCCCAAGCTGGAGCCATCCAGGCTCCGCCACTCTCTGGCCTGAATGCCAGGTTCTGCTCCAGGGTCTCCAAGTTTCAACCCATCATTAAGCAATCAGACATTTCTCCTTGGGAAGCTGGCTAATAAGCCAGATTAGTGCTGAATCAAGCAAATTAAACCTAGTTTTTCATCTGCAGAAGAAGCCTTCAAGGACAGCTTGAGAGGCATGGCTGCGTGAAGACAAGAAAGGAACTCATCAGCCTGTGAAGAACTGGCACAGAGTTCTCCCTCTTCTGGAGGGGCTGCTCCACGCACTTGAAATTGCAGTCACAGATGGCTCCTCGTGACTTGTGGGCTTGTTACAGGGTCCTAGGAAGGTGAGGACCCCCAAAAGGAAGGTCAGAGGATCTACCTAGGAGTTGAATCAGCCCATTTCCGCTTGATTAATGTCTCTTCTCACTCAAGTCCCAGGGTCAACAGTGACTGGCAGAAAGGTCATCACCTTGGAGAAATTCCAAATCCTTCCCATGTACTGATTCTTCAAGCTAGTGGGTCCTGGGAACCCCGGCTGGCTCCTGAGAAAACCCAACATGGCAGCAATGTGAATTTGACACCCAGGCAATTTTACCTGAGCCATTTGGGAAAAGCAATGATGTCTACGGCATCTCTACTCTCACTCGGCACTCAGTGCTTCCCTTGCCCCACATCCCCACATCTTCGAGGCTGGAAACTGTGGCTCAGGCAGGCCGAGAAACTTGTCCACGGGCTCAGAACCCAGAGTTTCAGGTTTTTAACCTTCAAGCAATCCAGAATATTCCTAAATTTACAGAAGAAAAATCTGCAGCCCCTCTAAACTGCAGGCTTACTGTCTGGCCTTGGCAGAAAACTGCTGTGTGAACAGAAGGCGCCCGTCACCTGAGTGCCCGACCGCTGGCCTCCTTGGCCCCGGAGGTGCCCACAGGGAGAGTTGCGTCGTGCGCAGGGCTGGGCAGAACACCACAGGGCAGAGGCCCTCTCAGAACAGCTCATGGAAGGCCGTCTGCTCTCTGGTGACTGTCATTTCCGTTTTTACACCTTTTTATCATGAAAATTTCAAAATGTGGCAAAAAGTAAAGCAAATAAATCCCCATAACCTTTTAGCTAATAAACATCTTAACTCTTTTCTATATTTGCTTCATCATTTTTACCTTTTTTGCTAAGGCACTTTAAATTAGGCCCTGAATACTTCAGTGTGTATTTCTAAATTACTAAGAACATTTTCCTACGCATCCATTATCACCCCTAACAAAATAAATGGTATTTTTTGGTGTTATCTTGTACCTAACGTGGATTCAAACCTTTGTGTTTGCAAGTGTGCTCGCTGTTTCTGGAATTTTGAAAAGGACTTGTAGCCCCCCTCAGAGCAAAGCTGGCAGCTCTTCAGCAGGTCGAATGCGACCCTGTTTGTTACCAAGGCCCCCTGGGGATCAGTCAGTCTGGGGCTGGCCTTCTGGCGAAGGTGGTCCTGCCTTTTCACTACCAGCTGCTAATAACTTGTGTGGCCTAAACACAGGTAGACCAGGACGTTTCTGCATCAAACTCATATTCCTGGCCCCCTTGGAAAAGGGCAGTACTGCCCTCCTGAGCTGGAAGCACAGTGCCAACTGTGCACCCCTCCTAGTTCCCACAGTCCCATCCTCCGCCTGGCTTCCGAGGCCTGGGTTTGAGACCCCTAATTTATACCAGTTGCACAGACAGACAGACTGCCCAAGGCCCTACAAACCACTGAAGAAACCACCCACCCTGTGTGACGATCACATTAGGAGACAGGATGACATTCCCTTAGGCAGGCAGAGCAATTCACATTGCCATTTTTAGGTCAGCTGGAAAACCACTCAGAGCCTCAGGCTTCTCAGCTGCAAAATGGGGATACAAATGGTGCCCACTTCAGGATGATAACCTAAATTGAGCAGCTGGTAGCCTAAGCATTGCCTGCCAGTCTCTGAGATAGATGCTGATAATTCATGGATACTCAGCCAGGATGGTTTTATTCAAGAAGTGGCTTTGTATATGGGTTGGCAACAGGCAACCAGATGGTGAGTGTTCAGATGGGGGGAACATGCTGGGGTGCTGTAACCTATAGGTGCTCAGGGAAGC